TCCATTGCACTAAGATTCAGTTTCTTTATCTGTAAAATATGTGTCACACCTATTTATAAGGTTTGGAAATGAAATAAGATGTTTATAGGCATTAGCTCAGTCTCATAATAAAACCAAAGTAAAACATTCAAAATATGTATTGACTATTGTATCAGGTACTTTTGAGTAAAAAGTAAAGAATGAAAACCGCTTATCAAATACTGTGTCTTCAGAGCTATGATAAATGAGTTTGTGCATTATATTCGTTTAATCCTTCATCACCCTTATAAAGTAGGTATCACGAAAACTGAGAGGTTGAATATTTTCCTGAAGTCACAACTGGTGAGTGGGGCTGGTCCTGGAGGCAGGGCATGTGCTCTGAGGTAGTATGTTGTCTCTTCTGTTCAGACACAAATATGTAAAAAATTATTCAAATACTCACAAAATAAATTTAAATGGATTTTTGCTTAAAATAGTAGGAGAGAAATTCTTCCACTTGGGAGAGATTCCTATCACAGGAGAGAAATGCTCTACTTAAAATTGGAGAGAAATCAGTTTTCCACCTTTATGGTCACCGTCTCTGCTGAATAAAAATTGGGCTATGTGCTCTTACAATGGGATAAAATGGCCAAAAAAGAACCCAGGAGTCAAGTTCTCTTTCTTGCGTCTGTCTTCCTTCCACCCTCCCTCTTTGATGTCAACCTTCCACTCTTGATGCCTGTTCCTTCGAGCTCACCCAAGGCCAACTTTGAGGGAAGAAATGTAGCAGAGGAAGCATTGGCCCGAGGGCAACATTCTTTTCCAGAGCTAGAATTCTTTAGTGCATGAGCTGTCACCCAGCCCCTGGTTTTCTATTGCTGATTAGCCAAAGGGCTGTGGAAACATTTATACTCTCTCCTCTGGAAGAATTCTTCTGCAAGTTTTCACGCTTACATCCCAGCTTGAACGTTGAAGGAGCATCATGCTTAAACAGAGAAAAGCTTCATTTTAGGGGAAACTGATAAACAGGCTGGGGTTGAGTTTCCTTTTTAAAAACATTTTCTAGATTAAAGAAAATCAGTTCTACTTTTAATATGTTAAAAATGTGTTGGTGATGGAATTTGTGGGGATAAATATAAGATGGTACTGAAGTGTTCTGAAGAAACTGCATCACTGTCACAAAACTACACAAGTGATATTACAGACAAAGGCTCTGACAGAAACCTTTTTTCAACAGAACCAGAAAAGTGAATGGAACCTCGGGATCTCTGGCAGGATCCAAATGCTTGGCTTCTCAAGGTAACCACTGAGAGGCTGGAGGTCAAGCTCAGGAAGGTACCATGAAGAAACCATACTATTCATCCAGCCAACTGGAGACACTTAATCGATCACAAAGAAAAATGAAAATTGCAACTCCTAGAATTTAAAAAGGTTAGTCCCTGGAATCTTGGCTCTGTTAATGGCATCGACCCCTCAAGTTAATACCGGACAAACCACACTCTGTTATTCACTACCTTATTGTGAGCTAAGGGAAGATAAGCAAAATATGCAGGGCTCTGATGCAGCTGGAGTGGGCCAGGTAACAGAGGAGCTCTGAAAGGACCTTTCACTAGCACTGTCCTGGTAACAAATAACATTTAGTGATGATTAAATGAGTATTTATTCTCACCAAGGAAATATGCAAAAATTCCCTCATATGTCTTCGTCTCTTAATCTCTTTTCTTTCCAATCTATAATTTTTCTTTAACACAGCTTTCCTCCTTCACTTAGTTTCAACTTTATTTAATCTTTATATAAATAGCCTTAAATCCCATAGAGAAATCAGCAGGTCACTAAATAATTAAATACTTATTAAGAAAATGACAGTAAGAAATTTTTCTATTTCTTTCTCCTCTCTTTTTAAATGAAGGTTGGTTGACAGTCGGGTGATCTCAGGGCTAAAGTATTTGGCTTTCCCCATTGTTCAGGACTGTGGGTAAGCCTTGGTAGGCAAGTGATCTACAATTAAGATGACAATCCCCATCCCCCTCCTTTGCATTTAGAAGTTGAGCCTTTGCGATTTTACAATATGCTAGCACTCTAAAAGACTATTAATATTACTGTCTTTTTGGTTGATAAATTTGCAGTTATTATAACTACGCTGAGCTAAAAAATGAATTAGAGATTTTTGCAAATACACAAAAACTGCTCTTACTTTAGAAAAAAAAGCAAAAAGCAAAAAAACAAAAAACAAAAACCAAAAACCCAAATCTCAGCTTTCATAATCAATAGCAATGGACAGCCATCAGAACAGTATTCCTTCCCCAAAGTGATGGGAAAATTGAAAAAAAGATATTTTAAAAGATTTTGGAACCACAGAACAGACCAAAGTCCCAACTTAAAATTTGAAGTTAATAAACAGTTCAAAAATCTTGCTGTGCTAATTAATGAGACCTGTTTCCCCAAACACTCCCTGTTGTCTTGAAGTTGAAGGGAGAAAAGGCTCTTTTTCCCACCCTTCCCCCACCCAGCAGGAGGAGCTGAAAATAGAGGCTTGGTAAGCGGACCTTGCAAGGGTTATCCCTTTCCAGAAAGCCTGAGTACAGTTAGTGCCACTACACAGGATGCAAGCTGAGTACAAGCCTGACCGGAATTCCCAAAACAGGCACAGCCAGGGTGGGGCAGAAGCACAGTCCTCCAAATTCACAGCTGCTACCAGTTTCAAACTGTTTTTAGAAGCCGCAGGACTGGGAGGGGAACAGGTTCTGTTCACTTAGTGTGGCTCAGTTTGCAATTCTAGGACAGAAGCCAGATAGAGGATTTTCTCCCATAATTCTTAAAGATGACGCGTGCTCTCCACAGAGATGTAACGTTACAGACTTAGAGCTCAGTGGACCTTTGGAGGTCATCTAGTGGATCTATCCATTCTACAGGCCAGGCAGTGGAGGCTCAAAATGTTAAGCAACTTGCCTAAGGTCACATAAATGTCTCTGAGAGAGCTAGGACTCTGTTAGCTCAGAAAACCTGGTGTTTTCTTCGAACTTATTCATAGTTGATTATCCAAATAGAAATTACATTAAAATTTTCAGATATAAAATATAAACTTTGGCACATATATTTAAATTTTAACTGTAGTAAAATACGCATGGCATAAAATTTATCATCTTACCCATTTTTAAATGTATGATACAGTGCATTAAGTAAATTGATATTACTTACTTATTTATTTATTTTTGAGAGGAAGTCTTGCTCTGTCACCCAGTCTAGCTAGAGTGCAGTGGCATGATCTCAGCTCACTGCAACCTCCGCCTCTTGGATTCAAGCAATTCTCCTGCGTCAGCCTCCCGAGTAGCTGGGATTACAGGTGCCCACCACAGTGCTCGACTCGTTTTATTTTTATTTTTATTTTTATTTTTTTAGTAGAGACAGGGTTTCACCATCTTGGCCAGGCTGGTCTCAAACTCCTGACCTCATGATCCACCCACCTTGGCCTCCCAAAGTGCTGGGATTACAGGCATGAGCCACTGTGCCCGGCCAAATTCACATTGTTTTATATATATATATACTCAAATTGAGTATATATATATATATACTCAAAATTGGATTCCATTTTTACCATTTTATTTTTTGCATTTTGTTGTTCTGCCTTTTCTGTATTCTTTTATATTCCTTCTTGACTTTTTGTGGATTACATTTCGTGTTTTGTGTTTTCTTATTCTATTTTTTCCCTTTATTAGTTGAGAACTTACACCTTTGTTTTTTATATTTTATGGGGTGTCCTAGAATTTATAACATGTATATATATATATTATACACACTCACATACATATATATACACATGTATATATGTGTGTACTTTAATTAAGTGTATAATTTAATACAGTCTTCAGTTAATCATTGTTTTACCCTCCTGAACAAAACACATAGCTTTGGTTTTTTGGTTTTTATTTTTGATTTATTTATTTTTTAGGTTTTTGAGGAACCGGTGGTATTTGGTTACATGAGTAAGTTCTTTAGCGGTAATTTGTGGGATTTTGGTGCACCCATCACCTGGGCAGTAAACACTGAACCCAATTGGTAGTCTTTTATCCTTCACCCCCCTATATACATATATTGAAATGCCCAGTATCTACATGGCAATTGAAAGTGCCAGTCAAAAATATATTTCCCTTTATCAGTCAATTACTTAATGGACACATACCATGTGACCCTACATAGTGGGGTCAGATAGCCTTTGGGGTCTCAAGGAGCTTATTTGTTCAGGAGACTCAATATATAAATGGAATATAATTTTAAAACACAGTGTCTAATATGTTTTAAATGATGATACTCACAGTAAATGTGAAGAATTCAAAGGACACAACATTGCGGGATGAGTACTCAGGAAAAGCTTCAACAAGAAGGTAGACTTGAGCAACATTAATATGAGCCGGCACTCTAGATGAAAGAACAGAGTGACCATGGGGGTGAGCTGTAAAAGATGTTCAACAAAAAGTGACTAGAAAAGTCTCAGAGTATCTAGTCTGGGTTGGTATTAGACTATAGATAAATGGCCATTGCACATTGCTGTTATTAGACATTAGATAAATGGCCAGTTTTATCTTGTAAGCAATTGGGAGCCACTGAAGACCTTCGGATAAGGATAACATGATTACCATGTTAAGTTGATTTGATGGCAAAGTGTAGGATGGATTGAAGAATGAAGAATTGTGTAAGGCCAGTTAAGAGGTCAATACAAAAGTTCAAGTACAGGCCAGGCATGCTGGCTCAGCCTATAATCCCAGCACTTTAGGAGGCCAAGGTGGGCGAATCACCTGAGGTCAGGAGTTCGAGACCAGCCTAACCAACATGGAGAAACCCTGTCTCTACTAAAAATACAAAATTAGCTGAATGTGGTGGTGCATGCCTGTTATCCCTGCTATTCTGGAAGGCTGAGGCAGGAAAATCGCTTGAACCTGGGAGGCAGAGGTTGCAGTGAGCTGAAATCATGCCACTGCACTCCAGCCTGGCCAACAAGAGTGAAACGCCATCTCAAAACAAAACAAAACAAAACAAAGCAAAAAACAAAAGTTCACTTTTCGGCGAACTGCCATCTTCCAGTAATTCACCAAAATGACAAACACAAAGGGCAAGAGGAGAGGCACTCGATCTATGTTCTCCAGGCCTTTTAGAAAACGTGGAGTTGTTCCTTTGGCCACATATATATGAATCTATAAGAAAGGTGATACCGGCCGGGCGCGGTGGCTCAAGCCTGTAATCCCAGCACTTTGGGAGGCTGAGGCGGGTGGATCACGAGGTCAAGAGATCAAGACCATCCTGGTCAACATGGTGAAACCCCGTCTCTACTAAAACTACAAAAAATTAGCTGGGCATGGTGGCGCGTGCCTGTAGTCCCAGCTACTCAGGAGGCTGAGACAGGAGAATTGCCTGAACCCAGGAGGCGGAGGTTGCGGTGAGCCGAGATTGCGCCATTGCACTCCAGCCTGGGTAACAAGAGCGAAACTCCGTCTCAAAAAAAAAAAGAAAGGTGATACTGTAGACATCAAGGGAATGGGTACTGTTCAAAAAGGAAGCCCTGCAAGTGTTACCATGGCAAAACTGGAAGAGTCTACAGTGTTACCCAGCATGCTGTTGGCATTGTTGTAAACAAACAAGTTAAGATTCTTGCCAAGAGAATTAAAGTGCGTATTGAGCATATCAAGCACTCTAAGAGCTGAGATAGCTTACTGAAACTCGTGAAGGAAAATGATCAGAAAAAGAAGCCAAAGAGAAAGGTACCTGTGTTCAACTGAAGCACCAGCCTGCCCCACCCAGAGAAACACACTTTGTGAGAACCAATGGGAAGAAGCCTGAGCTGCTAGAACTTATTCACTATGAATTCATGGCATAATAGGTGTTAAAAAACAAGAAACAAACAAAAAACCTCTGGACTATGAAACAAAACAAAACAAAAAACGACAACAACAAAAAGTTCAAGTACAAAGGCAAGTTTAAGTACGGTGGTCAGATTGGAAATATCCTATCAATAGTGATACAATATCACCTATTGATAATGTAGATATGTGAAAAAAGTAATGAAGAATCAATAGAACTTCTTAATCAAATAGATTTTGAGTGTGGGGAGGAGAGGCAGGAATACTAGGTTCAAGCTGCAGTGAGATAATATTGAAGATAATATTGAAGGGAGTTCCAGTTTTAGACGTGCCAATAAGGAAAAAACAGACATCCAAGTAGAAAAGAGAAAGTGCTTTGAAAAATGTAAAGAGCTGTACAACTGCAAGGCATTACTATTCAAAACGTTTTTAAACAAATGCTTTTGGTTTTTATCTTCTTCCTCTTTGGGCACAGTTTCAATAGTATTGGTCTCACTAACTTAACCAACTGAGATGGGAATGATTAAGTTGATCACAATGTATAACTTCCTCGTCATACAGAAGTTTAAGGCTCGCAACTCAAAGGTTACGAAATGCCAGTTTTACTTTATAATAATGGAAAAATAATAGGAGACATAAAGTCTTGAGTACTCTATTCAGTTGAGAATATTCCTGTGGAAAATGAAAAATGCCGCCAACAAATTGATGATTGTTTTATGTTAAGCTGCTGGGTTTAAACATTTCAACCTGATGCTTTTCCTATAAAATAAATTTAGAAAATATTGTGTGGGATGGTTGCATACCACAGTGTTGGGATCAGATCAAATGCAGCTTCATTGTTTTAAAGTCACTTAATTTGCCACTATTGTGACCTAGAAATGTTGTGCCACAAAGCAAAGGGAGCTTTGTTAACTACGAAGTCAGCAGGACTCTAGTTTTCCTCCTTTCTTTCTCTTATCAGGAAGGACTTATCCATTGGCACAATAGGCGTAATGCCTAGGGCTTATGATACTTTTAAGGGGCCGATGAGATTCTACTAAATTTTGCCTGAGAAGGAAAAACATGGAAATACTTAAAGTTATATCAAAAATACATTTTAATATTGCTATTATAGTGTGAGGGGCCCACATAGTCAAAGTGCCTAGGCCTCATGGTAGTCATAATGCAGCCCTGCCTCCTGTGCTTAAATCTGAGTCTCCAATTCTAACCATAAAACCATTGCTTTTTGTATTATTCTGTAAAAATGTATAAATTTTGTGAGCCTTTTTTTTTAGTTTTTATTAAAATATATAAATATAATTTTAATTATCACCAAGTTCCACAAAGTTTGCCAAGACAAATAGCCTCCCACCTTATTTTCCATATCCCTGTTCCCAGAGGTGTTTACTTTTAACTTTTAAAGATGCTTCATTCATTATGTAACTCCATTTCTCTAAGTAACATACTTGTAATGTTATTATTATTTTTTTTTCAGGTTTAGACATTATCTCTTGACTTCCTTTCATGAAGATGAGGATTTAGGTATTTCATCTCCTCAATCTTTACCAAATAAAGTCACATATACTTTTTAGCTATTCATTCTCCTTATTTAGATTTATCTTATTTCTGATTAACTCAACATTCAGGGTTAACATTGCTGTGACTCTGGAAGCTATTCAGTGTCAAGTCAGATGGGCAACTATGATGACTTTTTCTTGACTGCACAATTTTTTCCTCAGTTAAGAATTGTTATGTTTTCTCATTTGCCTAATTTTGCTTGTACACACTTATCACTAATCCATACTCCCCACCAGATGGTTAAATCTTTTCTTGATACATTCATTCATGTTGGGTATTATCTCAGTTTCATTGTCTTAAGTTTCTTCTGGAGCACTTGGGCCTATAAGTATCCAGATGGGTTGCCCCTATGCTTGGTACATCATCCTGAGTAAGTGTGGGAATTCCTTTTGCATTTCTTTTATGTTGGATCTCTTTTACCTGTAACTCTTGCGTTCATTTTTCTAGACTTACTCCATTATTTTGGTGGTGCACGTCCTGCAGAACTCCCTCAGAAAAATATGTGTATGGGAGAGGGGCAAAGTTTTTGACTAGAAGATCTGTACTCTCACACTTAGTTAAGAAGTTGACTAGATATTCAAGAAAATCCTGCACAACAAAGAGCAACGCTGGAGGCATCCTGCTACCTGACTTCGAACTATAGTACAAGGCTACAGTAACCAAAACAGCATGGTACTGGTACAAGAATAGACATATAGACCAGTGGAACTGAAGAGGGAACTCAGAAATAAGAACACACACCTACAACCACCTGATCTTTGACAAATCTGACAAAAACAAACAATGGGGAAAGGATTTCCTATTTAATAAATGGTGCTGGGAGAACTGGCTAGCCATATGCAGAAAATTGACACTGGACCCCTTCCTTACACAATATACAAAAATTAACTCGAGATGGATTAAATACATAAATGTAAAACCCACATCTATAAAAAACCCTAGAATAAAATCTAGGCAATAACATTCAGAACATAGCCACAGGCAAAGGTTTCATGACAAAAACACCAAAAGCAATTGACACAAAAGCAAAAATTGACAAATGGGATCTAGTTAACGAGCTTCTGTAAAGGAAAAGAAACAATCACCAGAGTGAATAGACAACCTATTGAATGGGAGAAAATTTTTGCAATCTATCCGTCTTACAAAGTTCTAATATCCAGAGTCTACAAGGAACTTCAGCAAATTTACAGGGGAAAAAAAAATAGCTAACCCCATTAAAAAGTGGACAAAAGACGTTGAACAGATACATCTCAAAAGAAGACGTGCATGCAGCCAATAAGCATATGAAATCAAGCTCAACACCACGGAGCATTAGAAAAATGAAAATCAAACCCACAATAAGACACTATCTCATGCCAGCCAGAATGGCTACTAGTATAAATTCAAAAAACAACAGATGCTGGCAAAATTGTGGAGAAAAAGAAACACCTTTACACTGTTGGTGGGAGTGTAAATAAGTTGAACCATTATGGAAGACAGTGTGGTGATTCCTCAAAGACCTAGAGGCAGAAATACCATTTACCCAGCAATCCCATTACTGTATATATACCCAAAGGACTATAAATCATTCTATTATAAAGATACGTGCACACAATATGTTCATTGCAGTACTATTCACAATAGCAGAGACATGGAATCAACCCAAATCCTCATCGATGATGGACTGAATAAAGAAAATGTAGCATGTGTGTATATATATGTATATATATATGTGTGTGTGTATATATATATATATATATGCACAATGGAATACTATGCAGCCATAAATAGGAATGATATCATGTCCTTTGCAGGGACATTGATGGGATTGAAAACCATTATTCTCAGCAAACCAACGCTGGAGCAGAAAACCAAATACTGCATGTTCTTACTTTTAAATGGGAGCTAAATGATGTGGACACATGGCAGGGAAACAGCACACACTGGGGCCTGTCAGGGTGGGGTGGGTGGGGGGAAAGGTACAGCATCATGAACAATCGCTAATGGATGCTGGCCTTAGTACCTAGGTTATGGGATGATCTGTGCAGCAAACCACCATGCTACATGTTTCCTATGTAACAAACCTGCACGTCCTGCACATGTACCCCTGAACTTAAAAGTTGAAGGGAAAAAATTGACTAGATATTTAATGCTCTTTGGAAATCATTGCCCTTCGGAATTTTGAATGCATTGCTCCATTATCTTGTAAGTTCCTATGTTGCTGCTGAGAAGTTCAGAGCCCTTTTGATTTCTGATACTGTGTATGCAATCTTCCTCCCCCACCCCCCTGGAAACTTGTAAAATCTCTTTGACCCCATTACCTTAGTCATTTTGGGTGTTTGTAACAAACTACCATAGACTGAGTGGCCTATACACAACCCAAATTTATGTCTCACAGCACTGGGGGCTGGAAGTCCAAGATCAGGGTGCCAGCATGGTCAGGTTCTGGTGAGGGCCTTCTTCTAGGTGGCAGATGGCCATCTTCTTGTTGTATCCCGACTTGGCAGAAAGAGGGAAAGAGAGCTCTGTGGGGTCTCCTTTTATAATACACTAATCTCATTCATGAGGCTCCACCCTCGAAACCTAATTACTTCTCGAAGGTCCCACTTCCTAATACCGTCACGTTGGGGATTAGGATTTCAGCATGTAAACTGGGGGTTCGGGGAGACATAAACATTCTGTCCCTAAGTCCCGTGTTCTGAAATAGCTCTGGGATGTGTCTTGATGTGGATCTGTTTTCATTGCTGGATACTCAGTGACCCTTTCATACTGTAGACATGTATCCTTCGATTTTCAGAAATCTTAAATTATTTCATTGATTAAATAATTGCTTTTTCTAATCTATCTTTGAGGAACTTCTTCAGGACTGGCCTTTTAATTTGCATATGTTTTACCTGTTATTTTACATGCTTTTTTCTTTCTTTCTGGGAGACGTCTTCAACCTTCTCTTGCAATCCATCTATTGAGTTTTCATTTTTACAATGTTTAAATTTATTTTTTGTACTCTATAAGTTTATTTTGTTTCATTAATTTAAAATCTTCTAATATCTCTCTGTATATTATTATTATTATCAAAAGATGAGGGAGAACAGCCAGACACCATGGTTCTTGGCTGTAATCCCAGCATTTTGCTCCCAAAGGTGGGTGGATTGTTTGAGCACAGGAGTTCGAGACCAGCCTGACCTGTCATGTATGACAGGACCTGTCATGTGTGACAAAATGCTGTCTCTACAAAAAATGCAAAAAATTGCTAATCATGGTGATATGCACCTGTTGTCTCAACTACTTGGGAGGCCGAGGTGGGAGGATCGCTTGAGCCCAGGAGTTGGAGTTGCAGGGAGCTGATATTGCACCACCGCACTCTAGTCTTGGCAACATAGCAAGACCCTGTCTCAAAAAAAAAAAAAAAAAATTGGGGGGGGCAGGCACAGTGGCTCACGCCTGTAATCCTAACACTTTGGGAGGCTGAGGCAAGCAGATCACCTGAGGTCAGGAGTTTGAGACCAGCCTGGGCAACATGGTG